AGGGGGTGTCCAGTTGCCTCCAGATGGGCTTTGGGTCTCCACTCTGCACTTACCCTCATTTACAATGATATGATTTTTTGTCCTTTGATGCCTGATCCCTCATCCCTGATCCCTTCGACACCTCGTGGTCACACAGGCTGATGTGCTTCTTCCATATGGACTTGTTGCTTCTGAGCTAGATGGCTGCCTGTTTACCTGCAAGCCTTTAAGACCCCAGATGCTACATCTTTTGATAGCGGGAACCATCAGCTTTCTTCGCCACATTTGCTTAATCCACTATATTTTTCTATGAACTTTCAATAGCTAGAAAAGACAAATCATAGAAATAGAAAGCAGATTAGAGATTCTGGGGTGGGAGGGGCGGGGAAGGGGAAGTGATTGCTTAAGGATGGCTGAGTTTCTCTTGGGTGGTGAAAAGTTTGGAAACAAATTGTGGTGATGGTTGCAAAGCATGGTGAGTGATTTCATGCCACTAGGAAATGTCTAAAATGGACATTTTAGATGTTTTCCAGAATATGAAATCCAGAATTGGGACATCTATAAAGACCATCACTGAATGAATGGCTTCTTGGGGGTCTGTCAGGGGAGGTTGGAGGGGCATGGGGAGCTAATAACAATGAGCACAAGAAGGAAGCAAATGTTCTAGAACTGATTGTGGTGGTGATGCTACAACTCTTCTTGATATGCTTGAACGATGGAATTGTATAGTTAAAAATAAAATGAAATATCAACTACAAATGAATACAATTTAATCCGTTTGTTACTGCAATGAAATGCAACCACAAAATACATGACCAAGTGGGTTCCAACCTCAGTCAATAATGCTTATGTTGGCTCCTAGCTCAGGCTCCACTGACATTCCTGTTTGTCCTCTGCGTTGGAGTGAAGGATTAGAAGCTACAGATAGAATCATACCTGCATGTCCTTTTGTCTGCAGAGGTCCACCTATGCGCCTGGAATTAAGACTGGGTGTGCGGTAATGACACCCTCCAAGTGCTGCCTCCTCCCAGCAGGTGGAGAATGAGTCTTTTTTTTTTCCCCCTCTTCCTCTTTTCTCTGGGAGAAAGAGATGGTGTGTGTGTGTGGTTGTGTGTATGTGAGAGAGAGAGAGAAATCCCATCAATTGCTTCACTCTAGAAGGGAGAGGAGACAGAACTTTACTTGATCCCGGTGACTAAGTCAGTGAGGGGTGAGGTTTGCAGTGCAGTGATAGTTACTTCCATGGATTTCTCATGGACCCTTACCCTCAAACCCAATGGGGACGAGAAGAGTCTGTTGGTGGATTTGACTTCCATTCCACTGCCAATGGGCTCCCTGATGGGGTCGAAGTCAATGTCTGCCCCTCTCGGTGAGGAAGGGTGTGGGCATGATGTCCAGGGTACTGGAGAGCTCTACTACTTCTTGTGACACTGTCAAAACTCTTAGACACCATGATCCTGAGTTCCTCCAGCAATGTTTCCTAAGTAGGACTTGCAGGCACTGTAGACCATCTTGCAATCCAAAGTCTCAAATAATATTGGAACTGCCAGGTAGGTAAACAACAACAACAACAACATATGTTGTCTACTTGATTTTGACTCATGGCAACCCCATGTCTCAGAGTGTACAACTGAGGTCCACAGGGTTTACTTGATTGTAATCTTTATCAAAGCAGGTCACCAGGCCTTTCTCCCTGGAGTCACTGGGTGGGTTCCAACAAGCGATCTTTAGCTTAGTAGTCGAGTGCAACTCACTTGCACCAGGACCCTTCTGCTGGTGTTAGTTCAGGGTTGCATGTGAGACGTGAGGGACACCTGTAACAGACCCTCAGACACGTAAAAGAGCAGATGTGTGTATGCTCCCCCCATTATCACCGCTATTTTTAAAGGAGAAGAATGGTCTGCTTTGGAAGAATTCACAGAGCAGACCAGGGTGTGTGAACAATCCCAGATATTCTGAAAGAGAAAAAAAAAAAAGAATGTGACAAAAGGGGAGTGAGCCCTACAGAAGAACAACCCAGAGGGTGGGATGGCTTCCGAAGCATCTTTTGGGGAAAGTGTCATTTGAGAGAGGCTTTTAGAATGGAAGGGAAATCGGAAAGCTGAGAGGCTGGGCTTGGCTGCTGTGGAGCAAATGGGAGGAGTGTGCAAAATTCCGTCCAGCAAAGGGCTTTGGAGACAAGTCTTCGGCAGAGCCCTGGGGGCCTCGTGGAGGGACCCACACATTCTCCTGGAGCCCACAGGGGGTTCTTGGAAGCGCTCCCTTGGCCTTTGGTCATGATGAGCCTGCCTCAGAGCTGGAGAGACCAATCATCTGTCTCTGTCTAAATTCAGGGCGATCCCAATTTCTGGTCTTAATAGCAGGGCGGGTGCTTGGAGGTGTCTTGTGGAGGCAGGGTTAGGCCTGATGAAAGCACATACCAAAGCCTGAAAGAAACAGGCTGGCAGAGCACGGCACAGGATGAAAAGGGGCCAGAGGACCATGTTAAACCACCTTTCAAAATCCTCATGCCTAACAACTCCACATATGCATGGTTTACTTCTTGAGAATACAATCGCAAACGTGATGGCCTTTTGCCAACAGAAAACTAGACTCCCTTCAACAAACAGCTTTGGGATCTGCCCCAGCCTGTGGGGCCGCCCACAGGGGCCTGCGGTGGCTGCAGGTCTCCCATCCGTGCTCCTGGTATGCATGTGTCTGCATGAATCACGGGGGAACAGTCACAGGCCAGTTACTGAGGACCTTGACGTAATAAGCAGCCACATTCTGATTAGGCAAGGCGGGCGTGAACACAGGCTTGTAACCAGGCTGGTGCAGTGAGACAACTACTTCCAGTTTCCCATCTGAAGAGCCAGCCCCGATGCTCCTGAGAGCGACTCAGTTCTTCAGAATCACCTGGAAGCAGGGAGCAACATGAGGACCAGGCTACTCTGCTTCATCCAGTACGCGGGGCTCCTGGTGGCCGTGGCTGGCCATGTGTGTTCCTTGGTCACCCTCTTCCTGCCCCAGTGGCTGACTTTCTCCTCGGAGTTTCTGGAGAAGGAGACATTCATGCTGGGCCTGTGGGAAGCCTGTGTGACTCAGGATCCTGGTGAGAGCGTATGCAAGGCCTACACCAACCTCCTGGAAATTTCCACCGACATCCGGATGGCCCGAGTCCTCATGTGCCTCGCAGGGGCTATTGGGACATTTGGATTCCTGACCATCATTCCTGGACTGACCTGTCTGAGGTACTGGGGGCATCTGGGGAGTCCTTTTGATCGAAGTATGAACATCGCGGGGGGAGCTTTTTTTTTCCTTGCTGGCCTCACCACATTAGTGCCCGTGTCCTACATGGCTCATGTCACTGTGCAGAAGTTCTGGAGTCCCAAGTTCACAACCTATACACCTCGGTGGAAATACGGCAGCGCCATGTTTTGCGGTTGGATTGGTGGCTCATTGCTTGTGATGGGAGGCTTTTTTCTGATTGTGTCACAGCTCTATGACAACAGATTGTCTGAAAACCCCACCTCGTTTTCTCCTAAAATGGACATGCCAAGAAAAGGGACTTTGGATAAAGAAGATGATATAATTTGTGTCTCCTCAAAAGATACGTTGAAGTCCTAACCCCCCTGTACCTGTGACTGCAACCTTGTTGGGGGAAAATGGGACCTTTCTTTGAAGATATGAGTAGTTAAATCATATCAGAATCGGGTGAGTCCCACTCATAATTCCTCCTGAGGGGCTGTTTTATTAAAGGGTAGAACAGACGTGGAGAGTCACATGTATAAATCAGAGGAAGCTTAGAAACTCCCGGGGCTCTCAGATCCCATAAAACACAAAGACGTCTCTTCCTCTAGAGTCGATTGAGGACGAGGCACTGCTAACACCCTGAATTCAAACCTCTAGGCTCCAGAATTGTGGGAAAATAAAATTCTGTTCTTTAAAGCCATCCCATTTGGTAGTGCTTTGTTCTGGCAGCGCCAGGGGACGAAGACAATAAATGCTGTTTACAAATGGAGCATGGGCCTAGAACTTTCTTAAGAAGGTTTCCAATGCAGGACTGCTTTTCCTTGTCTTACAGATCTTGAACTTCATTCTCTCCTTCTTTGTTTTCCCTCGGGTTAGCTTCATTTTCCTCTGCTGTTGCCCTTCATTACAGAACAACTAAAAAGTTTCCTTCACAGAGTTAAGGCACACGCGATTGTTTCTATTTCATAATCAACTATCCTAGCTTGACGGGAAAACGTCCTCTGAATTGTGCCAGACAGCGGGCAGCAACCGGGCCACCTGCGGGTCCTGCACCTAGGTACGCTGGGGTGTGTGCGAGTGCGCATAAGCTACCACTTGACCCAGGAACTTCCATCTGAGGAAGATCAGGCCCTGGTGGCGGTTGATGGTTTTACAGTCTGTCTCTGCTGCGCCAAGCAAAGTGTGCCCAGGATCAGGAACGTGGCAGGGGAAAAGGCAAGCCTGACACCCATCAGTAGTGTCCGACCATGAGGAAGGGAGAAGAGCAATACCAGGATTCTTTCTGGGAACGCGCACAGAAGCTATGGACGGCAAAGTGGTCACTGAAGAGTTGGAGTTTAAAATGGCATCCTCATTCAGCAGGTGCTCAGAATGAGCGAGTTTTCATAGAAGTGGGAAGGTTCTCAACCTTCATAATGCCACGACCCTTTAATACAATTCCTCATGCTGTGGTGACCCCCCAACCAGAAAATTATTTTCGTTGCTACTTCATCACTGTCATTTTACTACTGTGAAGAATCAGGCAACCCCTGTGAAAGGGTCATTGGACCCCCAAAGGGGTCGTGACCCACAGGTTAAGTACCGCTGTTCTAGATAGAGATGCCTTGCAGCATTGGTTCGAAAGTGTAGTTCCTGGATCAGCAGCATCTGCCTTTCTTGTGTCTTTTCGCACCACAGACAGAGCTGATTAGGTCAGTCTTTGCAGCCAGGAGGGGGACTTGCCCTATTCTAACGCAACTCCTCAAACCCTGCGTGGCTTCTGTTCGAAATAAATGATAAATGTCAGATAACTAGCTTATAAGTAAGAAGTAGGTGTATGTATAACGTTACAGATCACATTTGCCAACTCAATTTTGCAGGGTTGCTAATAGCAAGGTTAGCAGTTAAGAGAGGCTTTTCACTCCTGTAAGGAGGAAAGATTTACAGTCTCCGAAACCCACGAGGGATGTTCTGCCCTGTCCTGTAGGGCTGCCGTAAGTCAGACTGCACTCCATGGCAGGGTGTCAGGTTCAGGTTTGGTGTTTTATGAAGCCTTCTGGGGGATTCAGATGCATACTTAAGTTTGAGAAGCACCGCTTCACAGAGACTTGGCCTTGATTTCCCTGAAAGCCATGTTCCTGGTTGCCTGTATCACCATGAGAGGTGATTTTCAGGAGGATGCTTGGGGGAGTCAAGGAAGAAGAGGGAAGCACATACGGGTGAGAGGAACTTGGCATGGACATGCGTGGACAGCAGATCATCCTGCAGGCTGAGCACTGCTGATGCCTTGAGGCTTTTCTCTGCCCTCTATGACAAGGCCATTACAATCCCCACGATCACCATCACAGACCGAGACAAGGTAGAAATCGAATTAGCTGGGTCGTTTCTAGATGGCTGGCTCCTGATGACTGCCACTTAATTTGTTTGCTTTGTTTTTTATTTACGTTTATAAGGACTCTATTAACCTACCCTAGTGTTTTGCAGCCATGCACTCATTTTTTTTTTCTTTTTTACTAGTCAAGTGCAGTAGTGAGGGGGAGTAGACAAATAGGTCGACCATGCACTCATTTATTGCTGCAGGCAATACGGAGCGAGGGTCTGTCCAGTGCCGTGTGTCCACCGCCGCACCCTGCTCTTCAGCTGATTCTCCCAGGAGGGGATTTTGACTCCAGGGAGACCGATGGAGTTCTTTGTCATGATTTTGGAACTGAGACGCCGGGATTGGGGGACCGAGTGACCTTGAGAGTAGAGCTTGGTGGAAGCCATTGCACGTCTAATGCCCAGGCCTACAGAGCATCACGGGATTGCCCCGTCCCATTTGTTGCAGGGATTGTTTTGCTGTTGAGAATACACGCAGCAGAACACCCTTCGCCCCCCGCCCCCCCAACTCACTGCTTTCTACAGGTGGAGCTTCTTTCCGGTACAAACTATACATACATTCTGGAATTAGAAAGCGATGGTCGTTGTGCTGTCGTGTGGATGTTTTAAAACCACCGTGTTGCTCCTTCTCCTAGAGCTGACAGCCCCGGGATTGGGGGTGAGTCACGTGGCATGTCTTTCATGACCGGCCCTATCAGGCAGAGTAGAACCACTCCTTAGAGTTTCTGAAACAGCAAACCTTTCCGGGCGCAGACTCAAAGCTCACTGCCAGCGAGTCCGGTCTGGCTCATCGCGACCTCGAGGACAGGGTGGCAGTGCCCTGTGGGTTTCTGAGCCCGTGACTCCCGATGGGCGAAACACAGCGCCCTCTTTCTTCCTGGGAGCTGCTGGTGGGCTTGAACCGCCCGCCCAGCAGTTAGCCGCCCAGCGCTTAACATGCCGTGCCACTAGCACTCCTGGAGTCAAAACCAGCTCCATGGCTGTGGGGTTGCTGTTGCTCACTGAAAGCAAAGTGGGTGGGGCCCTCACTGCTGCCATGCAGGCCATAGGCGCTATCTGTGATAGACATCGGAAGCCGCTTGTACCATAGAGATGGTGCTGGGGAGGCTGAGGACACTGAGCGAGCAAGGGAAGCAGCTCATCAAATGTTGCCATTCTGGATCCCGGGAGGAGGGAGATCACTGGCCCCAGTATATGTACAGCACCCTGCCATAGGGTGGTTGGATGTATGGCGTTCTAGGGAGGAATGGGTAATATTCTTCAGTGTTCACCAGTGTTCCTTGGTGGGAACCAAGAAGTCACTGGAACTTTCTGAGAAACCAAGATAGTCACGGGGCTTGCTGACAGCAGAGATGGGTCAGAGCCCGCTGACTCACAGCAGCAGAGGGCCGGGGCATATGGCTGCATAACCAGCACAGGTCTGAGCGCCAACCAGACACGTGGCCCTGTGTTTCTGCAGGTCTGAGCGCAAAGGGCCTGGGCCCTGTGTTCCTTTTCCTTCTGTTGCTTTCAGAAGATGTGCACAAGGCGGGATTCATACTTACCTACGACTATGACGAACATGTTTGGTTCCAAGAAAGCTATAGCTGATGGTTACAGAAGTGATAAGGATGTTTCAAAGGGGCAATGCTAAGACTGACCTGGGGTGGGGGAGTATGTGTAAGCAGTTTGCTTGTGCAGAAAGTCTGCGTGGAAAAATAAAGGAACTTGCGTGTTATGGGTAACCCACAGTATTCTTGTTAAAAGTCTCTCTCTGAGCTTTTTTTTTGTTTTAATGATTTAACTTAGATTCCACAATCAATTCTTTTTTTCCTGACATTTTTGTTGGCATGTAGTTGACATATCATATGATTCAATAGTTAAACCGTTCAGCTATATGAAGTAGAACTGAAGAATCATTACCACATCAATTGTAGAGCACCTCCCCACCCCCCATGGTTAAATCGCCTTTCAAATGAGTTATGCAATCACAGTCCTTTCTAGTGCCCCCTCCCCCCTCTTCCTGCTCTTTTGAACTTGGCTGCACTTCATATTTTACCATGTGTTAGTCCAGCTCTGGCTGTTGAAAAGCCAGCGATACAGTAATCATGGGGATAACCGGCCCTTTGGCTGCTCACCTCAGTGTATCGTCATTGGCTTTTGTCACACCAGGCCACGGACCCAGCATTTGGGGGCACCCCAGATGGGACTCACTTCTTAAGTGTGATGAAGCCAGCTGTCTGTCCCTGCAGTCTGCTGCTGAGGTCACCTGTCACAAGGGGGGCATTTTTTTTTCAGTGGTCACCATTTTGCCTCTGAGCACTGGGGGGCCGCCTCTAGAGGAGCAATAGAGCTATAACACGGCAGATCCCGTGCACTCTTCACTCCCACTCTAAGGAGAGAAAGTTTGCTTCCACACTATAGACTAGGAGCCCTCCCTGGTGGGGGGAAGGGTACAAGCTGGGCTGCTAACCGCAAGGTCAGCAGTTGGAAACTCCTCGGGAGAAAGATGGGGCTTTCTACTCCCATAAAGAGTTTGTCACAGGAACTCAGCGGAGGAGTTCTACCCTGTCTGACGGGGTCCCTGTGAGTCGGCATCGATTCCGGGGCAGGGAGTGAGACCACAGAAAATAAATTCAGTCAGTGGTTTCAGTAGGTAAGTAGAGAAACAAGTGAGGCATTAATGTAGACAGGAACTCTTGTTTCTGTGTACGAGACTTGCAAACCCACAGCCCTTGAGTCTCATTGGCTCCTAGCGAGCGAGTCCCTAGCATAGAGCAGTGTTTCTGCGCACGCACGGTGTTTCTGAGGCTGCCAGAGTCTACAGGAGCAGGCCACCCTTGGCTGTGTCCCTCGGAGCAGCTGGAGGTTTCAGACCGCTGGAGGTTTCAGACCCCTGACCTTTGGTTCGCAACCCAGCGCTTAACCCGCTGCTCCACCAGGGCCCTCACACCAAACTGATAGCATTGTTTAATTATGTTAGTGAACCATAATTACATTCCTGGTCTAGTTAGACCGATTGGCGTTATAAAGGGAAAGGCTAATTAAGTTCCTTAATTCAATCAACCAATGAATGCACTAAGTCCAGACACAGAAAACAACAAGAGAGTTTATTTGGCACTTTCTGCCGAAAGCGATTTTAGCCAGGGTCACGCCGCCCAGGAAGGCCCTAGTTGCCATGGACTACAAAGCCACACAGGCACTCCCTGCTGTGGTTTAAGCCTGCAGCTGGCTGTCCCAGGGCACTTTGGAAGAGAGGAAAATGAGGCCACTGGCAGCATCAATAGAGCCCAGAGCCGCCATGATGGAAGCTTTCCCACACAGTCCCAGGACGGTAGCCACAAGCAGGAGGTTTTGAGAGACTCTAATATAAGGTAACCAGACGTCCCGCCTTTGGCGGGACAGTCCTGATTTGTAACAAATTTTCCCGCGTCCCGCGGCATTTTTTAAAAGTCCCAATTTTTGAAAAAAATGCACGACAAGCTAGGGTATACGGTTTTCGGCTGCCATGTGGCTTTTTCGCCAGGATATGAGTTTTATTAATGGTGTCCCGCTATACCAATGTTAAAATCTGGTCACCTTACTCTAATATCAAGAGGGAGAAAGGTTTCACCATAGGAGAAATGGTGACAAAAGATGTTCCTGTTGCTGTCATGATAGTACAGACTCCCCACATTCCCACACAGGCCAAGCTTGGGGTGATGCAGGATGCCTGGCAGTCCATGTGGCACAGCAACCACTCGGTGGGACACATGGCTTTCTTGGGGGATCAGACATTCAGCTTCAGCTAGAGATTTAATCATGCTGATTATGAAAGGGAAGTCGGCCCATAGCTTGCCACTGCCTGTTTGATGTCCTTCAGGTTGTCTGCATTGGGTGGTCTTTCTATTACACGAACAGGGAAAGCTGGTCTGGTTTCTAAATTTTCTGCAGTACCTCTTTTTTACCTTTGAGAGTAAAAGTGCTCTGCTAGGCTTAGTATCTTCCTTGCTCTTATCTACTCTCTTTGTTTTAGGACTTTCAGGCCTCTCCGAGCTGCATTCCTCAGGTGGGGCGGAGGCATTTGTCAGGAGGCTACCTATTAAATGACTTAATTTCTTCAGTTTTTCCAAAGCCTTCTCAACTGTCTCATACTCATTTTGGATCACGTTGCCTGCTTCTGCAATGTTACGCAGTTTATTTCAGACTTGTCCTTACATTGATGCTCCTCTTTCCTCTCCTGCTCTGTCTGTACAGGTTCTAAAACGACCTTATCTTGATCCTGCAGAGACTAGGTCTCTAAGGGAATACTCTGCCCCTCTCTGTGTGCTTTCTTTAAGTTGTATCTACTTCCTCCCAAGTTCCTAGATCTACAGTTCCTTCCTCTGGGAACCTTGGATTATACTTTTTTACTACTTATAGAAAACCTTGCATCTTTTTGTTTCTTACTTTTACGCTGTTTTTTCAGTTAGTGGATGAGAGTAGTACCATGAGTTTCAGGTTTACCTTTACCTCGCCCCACTGTCCTCTTTAAAACAATGAAACAATTAACCTGATTCGCCACACGGGATAATTTCTCCTCCAGGAGACCTTCCTTTGGCCCTGTTCAGGGTGCCAAATTGTGGGGTTCAAGCCCCCGCAATCAAATGGGTCAAAGGGATGGTTGTGTAATTGAGGGGCAAAATTAAAGAGACATCAGACAAGATAAAACATGCGATTGCTCCCCTCTGGGACCATCATGACTTCAGCAGCCGGATCTGCCCAGAGAGAGAGAATATATTACCAGCCAGGACTTATATACACTGCTCATCAAACTCGCCAACTGCCAAGTAGCAGCCTTCATTGTTGTCACTATTGGATGGTTCCTCTCCAATTCTGGTATTAATAATTTCTGGTGAGCCACCTGGGATAATCTGAAATTCTTCTTGCTTGGCAGTTTAAATCAATTGAAACGCTATCCCCTCCCAGTGTGATTGAGTGATAAGGCTGACTGAACTCTGATGCATTATGTGCTGGGCTCAGTAGGAATAGAGTCCCTCTGGCTCTATTGGGTGGGGCTTGGAGCACCCCCTCCACAGGTTTTCACTCTGGGAAGTGCTCATCAACAAGATTCCCTCACTGTTGAATCTTGAGCGACATTGATTTGCCCAATGATCTCTGTTCTTGCAATAGGGCACGGTCCAGGTGTTCAGGTTGTTACTGGAGTCATTGATCAGGATTATGAAGGGGAAATTAAGGCAGTGGTTAAGTCTGATGTACCATGGGTTATAAAAAAAGGGAGACTGCATAGGACAATTACTCTTAATACCCCATGTCCTGGTTAACAGAAACAGCACCAATCAGGAAGAAAAGCCGGGGAATTCAGGTCCACCTTTGGGTCATGGGATATTCTGGAATGCTATCATGGATAAACAAGAGCACCCATTGATGGTGTTAATAATTGAAGGAAAAATTTTTTCAGGGCTTTTAGATTCAGGAGCTGACTCCAGTTATGAGCCATCAACAGTGCCAAAAGTTTGGCCACTGACCAGCACTAATATTATCATGGGGGGTATAGGAGAAGCTGACCAAGAGAAGGTGTGGCTAAGTGGCAAGATCCTACAATGTACAGGGCCTGAAGGCCAGACAGGGCTAATTAAACCACTGGTAACTCTTACCCTGATTGCCTTGTAGGGAAGAGATCTGTTATAGCAATGGGAAACTAAATTATATCTCTCTCTGCACAATTCTGTAGTGCAAAATATTATGAAGAATATGGGTTATAAGGGAAATTGCCTTGGGAAAAATGAACAGGGAAATCCTTCCCCAATTGAAGTCACTCCCCCGTCCCCCCACCCAAATTGCTATGGCTTGGGATATCCCACTTTCTAATTGGGACTGCTGTTGTGAGGCCTGTACCCATTAAACCAACTTGGAAATCAAATGATTCAATTTGGATAGAACAGTGGTTCTTAAATAGTGAGAAGTTGCAAGTGCTTCATAATTTAGTTCAAGAACAGCTGAGAGAAGGTCATATAGCAGAGACTCTTAGCCCCTGGAATTTCCCTGTATTTGTAATGAGAAAGAAAGCAGGCAAATGGAGGATGCGTGTAGACTTAAGATGTATTAATTCTACTATACAGCCTATGGGGACACTGCAGCCGGGTCTTCCTTCACCTAGCATGATTCAAAAAAATTGGAATATGATTGTGATAGACTTAATGGATTGTCTTTTACACTATTCCGTTAGATCCTTATGATCATGAAAGATTTGCATTCGCTATCCCTGAATTAAACCATAGAGTTCCTAATAAGAGGTACCATCTTAAAACTCTGGCTGAAGGCATGATTAACAGTGCTACTATGAGTGGAGACCCAAAGCCCATCTATAGACAATTGGATATTCCCTTACAGAAGGGTCACAAGGAAGAGACGAGTCCGTCGGTATGTAGTATAACACCAAAGAAAGTTACAACTTTCCTCTAGTTTTTTAATGTTTCCACCCCACCCACAATCATGACCCCAATTCTACCTTACAAATCAGGCTAGACCAGAGCATGTAAACTGGTACAGATAAGAGCTGGAAACACAGGGAATCCAGGACAGATAAACCACTCAGGACCAATAATGAGAGTAACAATACCAGCAGGGTA